CCCCGCGCCCGCCAAAAGCCCGACCCCCTCGGGCTGATTGGCCTTCGGCCACCCGCGGACGCACGACCGCGCCGCAAGGCAGCCCACCCTCCGCGGCGCGCAACACGCGCGATCCGCAAAGGGCCGTGGCCCCTGGCACTGCCCGCACGCGTGCCCCAGGCAGGCGCCCACAATCGCGTGGACCCCGCCCTGAGGACCCCTGGCTGCTGCGCTCGCTTGGTGGTGAATGTACCGGCGTCGCTTGTGAACCCCTTCAGACGGAACCTGCCCCACTGGGGCCCACTGCGCAACTCCACCGGCCATACGTGATCCACCGTAGCACACACCTGTCAGCAACAACAGCAACAAATGCCGCCAATCCACCGCCGCGGCTGTGTTCGAGTTGCTGTGCCCATGCACAGGCGCGGCGCGGGCAGCAAAGCAATAAACCAAGCGAGCAATGGTCTTGCCGATGCTCTGCGGATGTGATGTGAACAGATCCTTCAGCTGCACACCCGCTGCCGGGTTTTGCTGGTCTGGCTGCTGGCTCTTTTGCGCACGTGGCGCGTGCCAGACACTGTTGACAATAGCGCACGCATCCATGCATGCGCCGTCTGCCGCACACCGCTGCATCGCTGTTGGCCCGCCTCTGCCTGATGCGTTCCCAGCTGTGTGGAACCGCACTGGCGGCCTCTGCGTTCGGCCTGGCGATGCACATTGGAACAAGCAAGGGCCACACGGCGCCCGATGGAACGCGCCACATACCTTTGCAAGCTCATGACTTCAATACCTTAAAAACCGCAGTAATATGTGAAGCGACCACACCGGCCAGCCTGCATGAACGCGGCCAGCATGCAGCTGCAGGCTGAGTCCACCCCCTTTGAACGGCGAACAGTGGCCCCCTGAATCCCTGTCACACAATGCTGATGCTACCAAGCCATATCCCATGAGCCTGGATGGCTCCAGGAGCGGGCGACCGCGCGATCTTGTAACAATCCTAATCCTAATCCTAATCCTTTGAAAGCTGCGCCTCCTGCTTGCCGGCTGCACAATGGTCACCCCAGCCAGCCGGCACCATCGCTCCGGTGACCCGCGCCGTTGTGCATTCACCTAGGGGCGGCACGTGTCTCGGCGACTGCACATGCTTGGATGGGCACTCACTGTGCAGGGCCGAGCCACAGTGGTGGTGAAGGCGCTCTGTGAGTGAGTGAACGCTGCTGCATTAGGTTGTAAGCAGCAACCCTGATTGTGTGCGCTAACAACGGTGGCCCAGCTAGTAGGGTTTGTGATGGCTGCAGGGCAGTGTAAGGGTGCCCAACCAAGGAGAGCACGGTGAACAGTGACATGAAACTGCCAGTAGGCAGTTAGTGCCCCCTTAGGGTCCAGGGCAGAGCAGAGGCTCGGGTTCCACAGCTGCTTACAATAATTGCCGACGTTGTGCATCGCGCCCACTTTTGGCGTGGTCGAGTTGGATACGGCGAAGGGCAAAGGTGGCAATCAGGCATGGGCAAGTTGACGCACTCCGAGGCGGCGTTTGTAAGGCGTGGGTTCCTGGTTGGGATGAGCCCGTGCCCTTGGAATCTCATCATTCTACGCGCCGCATCACACCGAAAAATCAATTGAAATGCATTAAATTGCATAATTGTTCTGTGTACAGTCACTTGGCGCGAACTTGCTATTCACTGATCTCATTATATTCTTTTGGAAAAAGACACAAGATATGCACAATCGTGCGCCATTGTACGCCCACGCACGTAGCAGCTTGGTCGATCTGACAGCAAACTGAGCAGCTTGGACGCATGGCACCACCCGCCAGCCGTTGTAATAGGCTAGTACATTAGGTTCAATGCAGTATGCAGTGGGCCTGGCGGCGTCTGTTGAGCTGGCAGGATGCGCTCTTCCGTCCGCTGGCGATGGCGCCGCTGCTGCTGCCTCTGCCCTGTCGGACACAGTGCGAGCCCTCGTGGTGGAGGCGACGCGCGCACAGCCCGCACCAGCCGAGGCGCTCGGCTCACTCAGCCTCGCGGGGGACGGCGGCGCCGGCTGCGACGCCCCGCCGGTCCTCTCTGCCGGCCAGCGGCTGCGTGGCGCAGTCAACGCAGCCCTTGAGCATGGCGCTCTCACGGTGAGCCACGGCCTGGGACTCATTTCAGGGCGGCTGAGCCAGCGCGCCGCACGACGCCGCACGCTGTGGCCCCGCACACAGGCCTACGATGCGGTTGCTCAAGCTCGGCCCTCCGCCGCGAGTTTCTGGTCTATCACCACTCAAATTGTGTATCATGCCTGGGCAATCCCACAAATCGCACGCACACGCACACGCACACACACACGCACACGTACACGCACACGCACACACTCAGGCTGTGCTTGAGGCGCTGCAGGCAGCCGTGACGCTGCACCCGGGATCCGTGCCGCGCCTGCTGTTCGCGCTGCATGATGAGCAGAGGCGCGGGCTTGCGCTGGCGCAAGCAGCGCTGGCGCAGCACACTCAGCAGCAGGAGCAGCACGCACAGCACCACCAGCAGCTACAGCAGCAGCAGCAGGGGCGATCCTTGCAAGCAACCCCCCGGCGACGGCGCACGCACGCCCTGCAGCGCATACGCGACCCAGCTGATGAGCAATGGGGGCATCCCTCCATCCCACAGCCCAACGCGCCCCCGCCCCCCACAATGGAGTCGCCCCGGGACCCTCGAGCACGACGCACCTTGGGCGTGCACCCAGGGGCGCCGGCTGTGGCTGCGCCGCTGTCGCCCGGCAGCCCAAGTTGCGGCGCGAGCTGGGGGCCACAACTTGGGGCCCCCAGCAGCCCCAAGCAGCCGCAGCAAAACCAGCAGCAGCAGCAGCAGCAGCAGCAGCAGCAGCAGCAGCAGCAACAGCAGCAGCAGCCACAGCAGCAGCAGCAGCAGCAGCAGCAGCAGCAGCAGCAGCAGCAGCAGCACGGCCAGTGGCTCCCACAGCAGGCGGACCTCACCAACGGCCGCATGGCCCCAAACTGGCTCCCCCCGCCTGAGGCCGCCCCCCACGTGTCGCCCGGCGCCGACGGGCTGTCACACCTGACAGCGGCGGACGCACTGCTGCTGCTGACGCTGCAGCGCGCCGCGCCGGCGCACGTGGAGGCGGCGGCCGCAGCGCTGGCCGCCGCGGCGCTCGGCAGCAGGTGGGCTGCCTTGCGGTTCACACGTGCAGGCGCACACCCGCTCTCTGAATGCCGGCGCCACTCGTCTACCGACCATACCCGCACAAAGTATTTGCGGCGGCCGCAGGATGCTACCACCCTAGATGCGCGAGTGCTTGGGGGCGCATGCACTCACCTAATGCTGCCTCTTTTACGCCGCGCGATCTTCCTCCTCCAAACCCCCACCCCTGCTGCAGCCCCGAGGCGCTCGCGGCGGCGGTCCGCCACCTCAGCGCGACCAGCGACGAGGCGCTCGAGTGGCTGCTCGCCGCCGCGGTCGGGTGGCTGGCCACGGCGGTGGTCGACCTGCCATCCCTGGAGGCAGCCGGGCGGAAGCTGCTGGCGGCCGCCCTGGGGTCGGCGCCGGAGCCCTGCCGAGTTGGACTGGGAATGCTGCTGCGGCGCGCCGTCGCTGGTGGGTCGGCTTGTGCGTCGTCACTGCGCCCAGCTGCGCCGCGGCAGCCACAGTGTGGTCGCACCGCCTGCGTTGCGTGCCGCAGTGAATGCCGTACCATCGTGGCATGCCACGGTTGCATGTGCAAGCAAATATCCCGCCCTTTGACCTCCCCTTCACACTTATTTGCAACCACACCACGCTGCTCCAGAGGGCTGTGCCCAAGGGGCCATGTGGGACGTACTAGATGAACTGGCGCGGGCGGCGGCGGCCGCGCTCGATCATCATCATCATCATCATCAGCAGCAGCAGCAGCAGCAGCAGCAGCAGCAGCAGCAGCAGCAGCAGCAGCAGCAGGAGCAACAGCAGCAGGCGGAGGAGGACGGGCAGGTGGAGGCGGGTCAGCTGCCTTTGGAGGTGGCCGAGGTTGCGGCGCATGAGCTGTGTGCGTTTGCGGCCACCCATTTGCAGACGCTCCCGCGCCGCTCCGCGGCGCGCCTGGCGGCGACCCTCGCGCCGCTGGCCGGACCGGTCGAGGCAGCGGCCGCGTTGCTGCGCGTCGCGTTGGTGCAGGCGCTCGCGGCCGCGGAGGCCGCGGCCGCGGGGCTGCCGCGGGCGAAGCAGGAGCCGTGCGTGGCGGTCTGGGACGCGCTTATGGGGACGCCGGGCGCGAGGCGCCCGCCCCCGGAGGCTGCCTTTGACGGCGGTGGCGGTGCCGATGCTGAGAAGGGCGGCGGCGGCGGCAGGGGCGCAGAGGACGACCCCTTGTCTCGGGAGCTGCGGCGCGCGCGCCGCGCGGCGGGGGCGGCGCGGCCGCGGCTCTGCGGGGACGGGGAGCTGGCGCTCGCCTGCGCGGCGGCGCTGCTCGCGCACGCGCGGCCGCGGCGGGCGGCAGCTTCGGGACATTTGGAGGATGGAGAGGGGGACGGCGGCGTCGCCGGCGCGATGCATGAGTGGCTGCGCCGCGGCCCCCCGGTGCTGCTGCGGCGGCTGCTGGCAGTGACCCCTGGCCACGCCCTCGCAGCAGACTGGCAGCGAGCCCTTCTGGCCGAACTCTCCCTGGCCGCGGCGCCTGCGCACGGGGCAGGGGCGGGGGCGGCGGAGGCGGCCGCTGCCCCGCC